GCGGAGGTTGCGGTGAGCCGAGATCGCGCCATTGCACTCCAGCCTGGGTAACAAGAGTGAAACTCTGTCTCAAAAAAAAAAAAAAAAGAATTAATTCCTCTTCAAAAATCTAACTCCCTTGTCCTTTGTTCTGTAAACTGCCCCTTCCCGCTACTGCAACCCATACCTTCTTAAATAGCCAATCGGAATCACCTTAGATTGCGTAACCCCAGCCTTTGAGGGAAGGACCCCTGCTCTCCTTCGTCAGGTGTGCCCTGGCTCTTCGACTGTTGCAGGTTCGGGCAGCAGCATTCTGCAGAAGTAAAGTTTGCCTTGTATAACTTTTCTCTGGAGTGCTGGTCTCTGCGGCACCGAGAACTTATTTCTAACAATTCGGGGGCTGTCAGGGATTTCCTTTCTCCTCTGGGGAGAAGTCCCTGACCATCTCGTGAGGAGACCGTCCCACTGCCTTGTTGCGGTGGCCCCAGGGGCAGGGGGATCGAGACCTCCCCCAGTGTGAGGAATAAACCCAGACTCAGCAACGCGGGCAGAAAGGATCCTCTGGACGAAGGTAAGAAACGTCGCGGGGGCGACAAAGTATTTCCTTGGTGGTCGGGATATCTTGGAGGTTGAAAGTGTGCGAGTGAGACGCATGATTTCGTGCAAGAAATCTCCAGTAAGGGGCCTCTAGGGAAAAGGAAAGGCAAGAAATCTCTGAGACGAGGATTGAGCCTCATACCAAACCTCCAAGATGGGCAATGCGCCAAGTAAGGCAGGAAACGGGAGGGATAAAGCTAGTTATAATAATACTCCTGATAGTCTCCTAGGTTTCATGTTAAATTATTGGAAGGATAATGAGAAGACTAAACACAAGAAAAAACAGCAAATGATAAAATATTGTTGTTTTATTTTGCTTGGGAAGTGCCTAAATGCCCTCCCCAAAGAAAACTTGAATGCGAGGTAGAGCAATGTAAAAAGGATATTTAGAACTTCCCCTTCCCGTCTGCCTCTAAGGAATCAGCTCTAACTCTCTTCCCCTTAAGAGAGGTCCCTGGGAGGAGGAGGGGGCACTGGCTTCGTGAATGCCCCCTTAACCAGCTCAGAAGTTCGAAATTTTAAAAAGGAGCTCAAGCCACTTTTAGATGACCCATATGGAGTGGCAGACCTGACTGATCAATTTTTAGGGCCCCAGTTGTATACTTGGGCCGAGTTCATGTCCGTTAGGCATCGTCTTTTCAGGGAAAGAAAGGGGCAGGACCCACAAAGCCGCTATGGAAGTCTGTGAACATGAACACCCTCCTGGCCAAAACGTTCCTGCAGCAGACCGAAAATTCCCAGCCAAGACCCTCAATGTGATAATAACAGTGCAGCCCACTGAGAAAATATGAAAGATCTCAGAGAAATGATAAAGGAATTCAAGAGTCAGTGGCCCAAACTCAAAACCTTTCTGGAGCATTTGATATACAACAAAGAAAAGAGGAAGGGCCTATGGAATTTTTAGATGGACTAAAAGAGCAAGTGAGAAAATATGCAGGCCTGGATTTAGAGAACCCCCTTTGGCAAGGAATTAAAGCTACATTTTGTTACAAACAGTTGGCCAGACGTTGCTAAGAAATTGCAAAAGAGAGAGAATTGGAAAGATTGAGCTGTGGAAGAGCTTTTGAAAGAAGCTCAAAAAGTTTATGTAAGAAGAAATAAAGAAAAGCAAAAGCAAAGATTGTTATCCAGCTTCCAACAGGGGGCTCCAAAACGTGGGGCCCGTTGCCGGGAGACCCCTACACTCCTAGACAAAGCCTCCAGGGGGACAAAACTTAGAAAGGATCCAAGCCCTCATTTGCCAGGCCCTATAAGGGACATAGGGAGGCAAAGCCAAGGAACTCCAGAACTGGAAGGGAATAAGGACAAAATAAATGTTTTAAATGTGGAAGAATAGGTCATTTCAAGAGGACATGTCCCGAATGGGAAAAAGAAAGATCATTCCACTTACTGCCTTCTGTCTCTTTTACATTGAGTCCCACCAAGAGCCCTTAATAAATTTAGAGGTGGGACCCAAACGTGAACATATAACCTTTTTAATA